TGGCCACACCGCTCGGGAAACGATATACCCCAAGACAGGTACGCTATATGTTCAGGTAGGACGCGCGCCTCCAAAGAGGACATCTAGTATTAGTATGTCCCGTTCCCCCCCCCCATAAAGATGGAAGGTGTGGTGGGGGGGGACGGGGGGGAGCATTTCTCGCCCACCCACCCACCCACCCACGGCGCGGGCGCCCCCACCCCCCCGCCCCCCCCTGGCGCCGGCAGACGACGACTGCCAGGAGAACTGGAATATAACGGCGACGGAAGGCAACGGCGGCGACTCCGACGACGACGACGACGACAAGGGCGACGACGAAGACGAGGACGAGGACGACCACGACGACGAGGACGACGACGACGTGTCCTGCCCGCCCGCCCGACTGCCAACGACATGTCCCGACCGACCGACCGACCGACGCGCCAGCAAAGGACGAGGACGACGACGACGTGTCGTGCCTGCCCGACCGACTCGCCGACGGTGACGTCGACAGCGTGTCCCGCCCGCCCGGCCGACGCGGCAAATGACGACGGTGGCGATGTGTGGAGGGGGGAGGGGTCGAAACCCTTCCCCCTCGATTTTCGGAAGGAGGAGGGGTCAGCCCTCCCCGCTTCCCAACTCGCAAGCGGGGTTCCGGAGAGGAGGGGGGGATCTTCGGTATCCCGGAGCGGGGGAGGTTGGGATTTTTCATTGTGAGAAGGCCAATGCACTTGAGGTCTGGGGATTCGGATGGAATCGCGGATGGTTTTGGATGCGATTGCGGATCAGAAGTTTCGCGGAGGAGAAGGAGGAGGAGGAGGACGAGGAGGTGGAGGAAGAGGAGGAAGAGTCGGAAAATGAGGAGGAGGAAGAGGAGTCTCAGGTATTTAGGCGATCAGCCGTGGTGGCAGGATTTTAATCAGCTCGAGCCCACAACCACAGCTCATATCCTATAGCGATGGAAGACATCCAGCAGAGCTGTCACTGTATCAGACCAATCATAGGCATTGGGGTTGACAAGGCCAACCCACGGTGGTGGCGGCAGCTACACCCAAAGCGTTAGTCCATTTGGCTGTTTGCTCAACATGATTGACGTTCGCTGCGATGGCCAGATCAACTCCTTATCAATATCGCACAGTTCATTGACAACTCTGAGCAGGCACATCGGCCGATCACTCTCACACAGGCGCTGTATAGGTGCTGGTCTAGAGTTGGAAGGTGCAACGGGGCAGATTGGTCGTCAGACAAAATTCAGTTCTGGGACAAGGCGGTCGCGGGGTCCAGCTCACTCAGGGCCGCCACCCTTCGTCAAACGAAAGTTGAAATCACCCGCATCCATCAGCTTTCCAAGAGCGAAGTGCTGACTTGGAGAAATTCTATGATACCGTAGACCCAGGAAGTTGTGGCACGTAGGAGTTAGCGTCGACTATCCTCTTGCGCACCTTTTCTTCGGCCTCAGGCTCACGTTGTAGCAGCAAGTGACTTGCATGACAACGTCAGGCCAGTGTAAGTCCAGTTCGGGTAGAGGAGTGCAGCCGCTCTCAGAGCGTTCCGGAACGCTCTGGAGCGGCCGCGGCGCCCAATACATCCTCCGAACCCGCCGATTCTCAGAGATTTCGAGTTATCCCGATCCGATTTTGTCCCGATTTTCGCGACGTTTTAACTTGCCGTGGGGCATCGAAGCAAGGGCCAGGCAAGATGATAGGGGGCGTGCGCGGGCGTGCCCCGCTGCCGGCCTCCCGCCGGCGTTCCCTCCCGACGTGCCCGCTGCCTGGCCTTTTGTCCTGCCGTTGCCACCGCTGGTAGCCATGATTCTTCTCGCTTCGCGGGGTTCTACGTCGGAGCACGCCAAGACTAGGCGTTGGGCGGTTTGCCCCGCTCGTCTGGCGCGCTGGTCCGCTAGGGGGCCACATGCGAACCCTACCCCTACCCCACACGATTTCCGAGGGCGAGGGTGGGGTTCACTTCGCCCTCGCCCTCAGAAATCGTGGGGGGTAGGGGTAGGGTTCGCATGTGGCCCCCTATCCGCGGCGTCGTTATGCCCTCCCTGGGGCGTTGCCAGCGCTGCGAGGGCGGGGTGCCCACCTCCCCCCCCTCTCACCGCTGCAGCAACAGCACTGCGCGCCTCTTGGCGGTTTATCGAGGCCGTTTGGGGGCCTCTTGGGAGCCTTTTGGAGGCTTCTTGAAATCTCCTGGGAGCTTCCAGTGGGCCTTTTTGACGCCTCTTGCGCCGGGCCCCTTTGGAGGCCGTCTGAGGGGTCTCTCGGGGCCGTCTGGTGGCTCGCTTGGGGTCCTGTTGAACCATTTTGGGTGCCTTTTGCACCGTTTTGGTGGCCTTTTGGGGCACTCCTGGGCCGCCTTGGGGCCTTCTCGGGCGCCCCTTAGGCCGTCTTGGGGCGATCTTGGAGATTACTTTGGCCGGCACGGGCGCCCGAATGTTGAAGAGGGTGAAACCATGAAAATCTTTCAAACACCTTTGAGAGATGTTTGTTGTGGTCGTACAATGGCCCCTTTGGGGGTCCTTTAGGGGCCATTTTGGACTGGGTTGGGGACCCTTTTGGGCCCTCTTGGGGCCATCGTGGGCCCCCTGTGGCATGTCTTGAGGCCCTCCTGGGCCCCCGGGAGGCCCAAATAAACCCAGATTGTCGATTTGCCATCGGTTCTCGTAGGTTTAGGAGGCCCAGAAGGGTCTCACTACGGTTGGGCGACGGAAGTGAAGTGTCTGGGGGGGGACTGAAGGGGGGATTATGTGAATTACGATGTAAGTTATTAATGCATGTAGCAATGTGTAAGACTTGGACACATAGCATATGTTTTCTCATCGCCTCCGCAGACCTGCCTCTGGCAAATCGTCACTTGCGGGCGTGGATTCCTTTCGCTTCGCGGGGTGCACGTCCGGAGCACGTTGAGACTGGGCGTTGGGTGGTTTGCCCTGCTCGTCTGCCGCGCTTTCCTGCCGTGTCGTTCTGCCCGCCCCGGGGGCGGATGCACCCTTCCCCGTTTCAGCGACGGGGCGAGCGTGCGAATGTCCACCAGGACCATGAGCATTCACCGCGTGTCAACGCCAGCCAACGCCAAGTTCAAATTCCGAGTAGCATAGCAGCGACTCGCCATTCGTATACAATTCCGCGCGTTTCTTAGTGGTTGCTTGGGGACGCTTGGGGGCTTTTGGAGGGCCTCTTGGAGGCGTCATCTTGGGGTCCTCAGTGGCCCATTCGGAGGCCGTCTTAGAGGCATTTCGGGGCCGCCTTGTGGCTCTCTGGGGGTCCTCTTTGGCCGTCTGTGTAGCTTTTTGAACCGTCTGGGGGGCCTCTTTTTGGGTTGGGGCTCTCTTGGGCCGTCTTGGGGCTCTGAGGCTCTCTTGGGGCCACCTTGAAGGCTGCCTGGACCGTCATGGGCCCCCGAGAGTCGAACAAAAACGAGAACGCGAAAATTCGGCGAAACCCAACAAGAAAGTTCATGTTTTGGGCTTCTGGATATGCTCCTGCGGGGCCGTTTTGGGGGCCTCTGGGGCCCTGTTTGGGGTACTTTGGGTTGCCTTGGGGCCGTTGAGCCGTGTGGAGGCCCTTTTGGACCCCCAAGGGGCATCATGAGAGGCAGACATAGTATATGTTCCATACGTTTTGGTACGTACGTTTTTGGACCCCAGACAGGGGGTTCTATCTTGGGTCCGCGGATGTGGCGCGACTGCCGGGGGGTGTAAGGGGGGATACGTAATGATGTTAACAATCATTGGATATACGATCTACGGGATACGTTGCATGTTTGGCCTTCGCAGAAAACTCTGCCGCTCAGCATGTCACCTACAGACGTGGATCTTAAGGCTTACGCCGTGTCCGCCGACCTTTTGTTTGATTTAGGCTTGTGTGATGTGTGTTAGTGTTATCCTGGCCTGTTCCAGAACGGTCGTGGGTTGAAGAGGGGACGATGTGTCTGCTGTGGCTAGGACCAAGTTGGGCAACATGTTTGGGTTCCTGCTAGCCGACGTTGCATGTATGGATCCATATAAATACATACGTACATACACATGTTTGTATGGCCGTGTATATATGCATATATGTGTACACATATAATGGCCTTCGGCCCGTCCCGCCACCGTTCTTGGGCCGCAGGTCAGAGGCCTCTGGGATGCCTGTGGGGATCGCTTTGGAGGCCTCTCGGAAGCCATTTGGATTCGGTGTCGGGGTGTCTTGTGTCCTCTCGGGGATTTCTTGGGGCCTGGTCTAATTTCGGCCTCTTGGGGGGCATCCGGTAGTTTGTGGGTGGCCTCTTGGGGGCCTGCTGGCGGTCTCGGGGGCCATTTTGGAGCGAGGGTCTCGAACTGTCGATTCGTGTTCCCACTATGGGGTCTCTTTTGGAGCCCTATTGGACCGTCTGAGGGCATCTTGGGCCGTCTTGGGGCTGTCTTGGGCCGTCTGGGGGCTCTCTTGGGAGTCTCTTGGGTCGTCTTGGGGTGATCTTGGGGGCCTCTTAGGCCGTCTTGGAGCCCCGAAAGCTTGGAAAGGCGAGAGTACTGAATTCTGTCAAAACCTTTTGGTAAATCAATGAGTTTGGCATCTCGGGATCCTCTTTGGGGGTCTTGGAGCCCTCGTGGGGCGTGTTGATGGCCTTTTGGACCGTCTGTGGGCCATCTTGGGCGTCTTGAGGCGATCTTTTGGCGGCTCGAGGCCATCTTGGAGCGTCTTGGGGCCCTCTTTGGGTCCTCTTGGGGTCCCCTTGGGGCCCTCTTGGCCCGTCTGGGGGACCTCTTGGAGCCATGAGGGAAGCGCGGGGAGAGCCGAAGCCCCTATGGTGAGTTCACCCAGGGGTGCGCGTCGGCCAGAGGGGGGGGTCAAACGCCCGGATTTGAGGCCCGTGGGGGACTCCAGGATTATAGGGGAGAAAATGTCTCACACGCCTGGAGACTCAGACGGGGTCGGCGGATTACTCTGCTCTGGGTTGCCGATGCTCAACGGCCGCATCCTGGTGATTCCCCCAACTGGGCCTTTCAAACCGCTAGGGCTGAACAGAACCGCCGGGAGGCCGAGAATGACGACGTCCACTTCAACGGCGTCCGCGTCACCGCCCTGAGGAAGGGCCCCCTGGAGATCTCAGGCCGGCCGGGGCTGCGCCGCACGCTTGCCACTCCCTTCTTCGGGGTTGCCAAAGGTGCCCCTGGCCCAAGGTGCCCCCAGCTGTACGCTCCACTTCGGAGCCCCTGGGTGGGGCCCTCTGGGCCTCGTGAGGTGTGCTCTGGAGGCCTTGGTGGCCTCCTTGGAAGTCCTGGGGGCACCTTGGACCAGGGGCACTTCTAGCAGCATTCGACTTCACTGGGCGCTGGCGCTGGGGGCGGCATCGGCCAGCGGATGCTGCCGCAGAGGGTCTGCGGTGGCCGCGCGAGGCATTCGGGTGCTGGGCGGACACGGCCCTCCAGGTAGTGTTCGTTCTCCCCCCATGCTCCCTTCACTCTGGCCCATATTCCCCCCATCACTCCTCCATGCCCTCACGCGCACTTTCCTTCGCCGCGCCCCTTTTCTTTCCTCGGCTGCCTCCCAGGGGTGGGGAGACAGCCAGCGCCAGGTCCGACGACCGACGGTCGTCCCAGGGCCGAGTCGGACCTACCCCCCTCGACGCGAGCCCAGACCTCAGGTGTCGTGAACCCAGACCCTACATGCGGGCCCCAGGGCTCCCTGCCCCCTCCTGGGGCCGGCGGGTTCCATCCTCTGCTGTTCCTGGAGTGTGGCGAAGGGTCTTCCGTCTTGATACGTGCAAGATGTTGGAGGTCTGGGTCAGAAGTTGGCCCCAGGACCGTCCTGGGATGCGTTCCTCTTACAATTTCGAAGGGGGATCAAGGCGACCAGGAACCTCCCGAAATCATTCAAAACCTAAGAGAACAAATCTGCTAGCCAGCATGGACCCCAAACCCGGAACAGTAAAGTATCGCATTGAGGATGTGAAATATATGCGGTGTGTGCTATGGGGTGTAGGTTGTGTTGTGTAAAGTGTGGTGTGAGCTATGCGATTGTCGTACAAGCTATGTGGTATACGCTATGTTGTGTAAGCTGTGCGGTGTGAGTTTTGTCGTGTAGGCTAGGTTGTGTAAGCTGTGTGGTGTAAGCTATACGATGCAAGCCATGAGGTGCAAGCTGTGTAGTGTAAGATGTGCGATGTAAGCTATGCGGCGTAAGCTATGTGGTGTGGGTAATTTGCAATGTTGTGTAAGAGATGGCGTTTAAGTGTTGTGGTGTGAGCTGTGATGTCTGAGCTAGGCTGTGTAGGCTGTGTAGTGTGTGCTATGTGGTGGTAGCTATGCGGGGTAAGACGTGTGGTGTGAGTTATGTGGTGCAAGCTATGCGGTGCAAGTCATGTGGCGCCCACGGGCGGGCACCAGGCTAAACCTCGGCGTACTCCCCTCCTCCTCCTCCTCCTCCTCCTCTCTTCCTCCTCCTCCTCCTCCTCCTCCTCCTCCTCCCCCTCCCCCTCCTCCTCCTCCTCCTCCTCCTCCTCCTCCTCCTCCTCGTCCTCCTCCTGCTGTCCCTAGGGAACCCCAGCGTACCCATCCAGTGCCTTACGTGTTCTACGCAAGAATCCCTGAGTGCAAGCACTGTGCATGCAACATAGATCCTTTATCTTCGATCCCCAATCTTCGGGGAGGAGGGCGAGGAATACGACAAGCATGTCGAGGACCAGGAGCCTGCAAGATGGCAGAGCACATTGAACGTTCAAAGCTTCAAAGGTTGAGGTCGAGCTCGAGCCTTGACCCCAGCACGCTCCTGGCCGGCCCCCCCACGGCAACGAGGAACCTCCCAGAGGCCAGACCGGCAGGCCAAAAAACCCCCCAAACCATGAGCCCCCGATATTCGAAGCGACGAAGACGACGACGACGACGACGACCTGGGCCGATCTTCGCCGTGCCGCGCACCACCTCGCGCGACCCGTGCCTCTGAAACAGGCCTCCTGGGCCGGCGGGAGCACTCGCTGCTCTCGCCGGCGGAGGGCGAGGAGCAGGAGGCGGCCGGGTCGACCACGTTGGCGGCCACCTCGCTGCAGGAGAGTCGCCGCTGCTGCCGTCGTCGTTGTCGTCGGCGTCTCACGAGCCAGGGGAGGGGAGGGAGGGACGGGGGGGGGACGGGGGGAAAGGGGGAAGGGGAAGGGAGGGAGGGAGGGAAGGGAGGGGGGGAAGGGAAAGGGAGGGAGGGAGGGAGGGAAGGGAGGGAAGGGGAAGGAGGGAGGGGAAGGGAAGGGAGGGAGGGAGGGAGGGGGGCGAGGAGGGAGGGAAGGAGGGGGGGAGGCAGGGAGGGAGGCAGGAGGGTGGGAGGGGGAGGGAGGAGTGAGGGCGGAAGGGAAGGTGTTGACTGTCAAAGGGAGGATTGGGGTTACTAGGCTTGGGGGATGCGGAGCGGGGCCACAATGAACAGCGCTTAAGACGCGCAAGCGTGATTCAAACGCAACCTGACTTTCCCGTGGGAGAATGCCATGGCACCAGCGAGTCTCGAGGGTCCCGACTTAGGCACCTCTCGGGCTCTGTTCGGACATAAGTGGGTTTTGTTCGGATTACGATTGGGCCCTTTGTGGGGCTTACCCACCTTGGCCCCCACTGGCTGGTTCGCATGGCTCCATCGCTGTAGCTCGCACAGCGCTTAAGTCCACCGATTTGCTTGAAGCTTCATGAGCGCGCGACGTGCGCACTGTTTGCGCAGTGGTGGCTGAGTGGCTCCACAAATTTGCGACAGTTTCGAGACAGCTCTGAGCATCGAATCTGTTCCCCTCCTAGGTACATGCCCTGCCCCGCTCATCCGCTCCCATCCGAGTCCTCGGGGCCTTTCCTCTTATCCCTCGGTTTCGCTATCTCGCCCCCTACAAACAGTATCCACATGACCACCCTTCGGATGATAATGAGGTCGGGGGAGATGTGTGCAGCTTTGGGCGTGCGATTGGCGTCGGATCGGACTCGTGATATGTATAATTGTGTGATTGTCGTATGCTGTTATGTCGATGTAACATGTTGTTATCGTTTTTGCTGTTGGCGGTGGTGCTGTTGTGGGAGGTATTGGTGTTGCTGCTGTTGTTGGTGTTGTTGTTGGTCTTGGTGTCGGTGTTGTTGTTGTTGGTATTGTTGGTGTTGCTGTTGTTGCTGTTGCTGCTGCTGCTGTTGTTGTTGGTGTTGTTGGTGGTGGTGGTGGTGTTGGTGTTGGTGTTGGTGTTGGTGTTGTTGGTGGTGTTGTTGTTGTTGTTGTTTTTGTTGGTGTTGGTGTTGGTGTTGGTGTTGGTGTTGTTGTTGCTGTTGTTGTTGTTGTTGTTGCTGTTGCTGTTGCGGTTGCTGTTGCTGTTGCTGTTGCTGTTGTTGTTGTTGTTGTTGTTGTTGTTGTTGTTGTTGTTGTTGTTGTTGTTGTTGTTGTTGTTATCGTTGGAGTTGTTGTCGTTGTGGTGGTGGTTGTTGTTGCTGTTGTTGCTGCTGTTGAACTTTCATTACTGGCGAATGAGTATTGTTGATCCCCCCTCTGGTGCACACTGTATTTATTTCAGGTGAAGTGTCCCTCACGGCGCTTGCACCCTGTTTTTATCAGGGTTACAGCAACAACGCTCCCGCCTGGAATTTCCTGACAATTCAGCCAGGACCCCCGCTCCCGCCTGAGACTTCCTCGCATGTTATTCCGGAGTCGCGCTCGCGCTGGGAGCTTCCTTACACTTGATTCAGGAATCGGCCTCTCGGCGCTCTGGAGTCGCGCTCTCGCTGGATACTTGCTTGCCATTTACTCAAGAATAGCGCCCTTGCGTTGGAAGTTCCCGCAATTTACTCAAACGCCGCGCTCCCGACACTGAGGCACCCAGGAGTCGCGCTCACACTTGGAACTCCCTCACAGCTTATTGCGAAGGCATTACGGCCGTTGCCGCCGACCCTGAGAGCGACGAAGATGAAAACGAGTGGGGGGCAGGATGGAGGAGGTGGATGAGAGAGGAGGAGGGGGGAGAAGGATGTGGAGGAGAAGCAAGAGGAGGAGAAGGAGGCAGAGGAGAGCAGGAGGAGGGGGAGCAGGGGGGGGAGGAGGAGGAGGAGGAGGAGGAGGAGGAGGAGGAGGAGGACAGGAGGAGAAGAGGAGGAGAGGAGGCAGAGGAGAGGAGGAGGAGGGGGAGCAGGAGGAGGAGGAGGAGGAGGAGGAGGAGGACGAGGAGGAGGAGGAGGAGGAGGAGGAAGAGGAGGAGGCCAGAGGCTTTCTTGGGACAGCCTGTTGCTCTCCTGAGGCCGTCTTGGGCCGTCCAGGGCTTCTATTGCGCCGTCTCGAGGCACTCGTGGAGGCCTCCTGGGCAATTTGGGGCTCTCCTGGGCTGTCTTGGGGCAGTTTGGGGGCTCCTTCGGAGCCTCTTGGGGCCTCTTGGGGCTTCTTCGGGGCCTCTTCGGGGCCTCTTGGGGGCCTCATGGGGCTGAGAGCTCGAAATGTCCGTTCGGGTCCCCCGTCCGCTCACTCTCCTGGAGCCGTCTTGGGGGCCTCTTGGGCCGTCTTGGAGGCGTCGTGGGCCGTCTTGGGGCCCTCTTCGGCCGTTAGGGGACCCTCTCGGGGGCCCCTTGGGCCGTCTCGGGGCGATCTTGGAGGCCTCTTGGGCCGTCTTGGCGCGTCGGGAAGCGGAAGAGGCAAGACCGCCAAAAACTTTCAAAACCGTATGGGAAATCCATGCATGTTGATTCTTTGGGCTCTCGTGAGAAAGTTCCTGGAGGCCTCTTAGGGGCGCTTTGCAGGACTCTAGTGCCGTCTGGAGGCCGTCAAGGCGTCTTGGACAGATCGTTCGAGCGCCGCGCTCCCGACACTGAGGCACCCAGGAGTCGCGCTCACGCTTGGGACTCCCTCACAGCTTGTTTGGGAATCGGGATCTCGCTGCCCTTCGTGACCCTATTGCAGCCTTTCGTGGCACCCTCGCTGCCCTTCGTGGCCCTGTTGCAGCCCTTCGTGGCCCCCTCGCTGCCCTTCGCGGCCCCGTTGCAGCCCTTCGTGGCCCCCTCGCTGCCCTTCGTGGCCCCGTTGCAGCCCTTCGTGGCCCCCTCGCTGCCCTTCGTGGCCCCATCTATGTATGCCCTTCGTGGCCCCCACTCGTTCGCGCCCGTCGTGGCCCCGTATGCATGCGCTTCGTGGCCCCGCTGTCGCCCTTCGTGGCCCCATATATGTATGCCCTTCGTGGCCCCCACTCGTTCGCGCCCGTTGTGGCCCCGTATGCATGCGCTTCGTGGCCCCGCTGTCGCCCTTCGTGGCCCCCTCGCTATCCTTCGTGGCCCCGTTGCTGCCCTCAGTGGCCCCGTCCTATTACGCGTATGCCCTTCGTGGCCCCCGCTCGTTCGCGCCCGTCGTTGCCCCATGTTCATGCCCTTCGTGGCCCCGTTGTCGCCCTTTGTGGCCCCTCGCTGTCCTACGTTGCCCAGTTGCTACCCTCAGTGGCCCCGTCGTTGCCTTCTGTGGCCCCGCATTATCTGCCCTTCGTTGCCCCCGCTCGTTCGCGCTCTTCGTGACCTCATACGCATTCCCTTCGTGTCCCCGCTGTCGCTCTTCGTGGCCTACTTCGTGCCCTTCGTGGCCCTGCTGTCGTTCTCTCTCTCTCTCTCTCTCTCGCTTTCGCTTGTCGTCGCCGTCGTCGTCGTCGACGTCGTCGTCGTGGTCGTCGTGGTCGGTCCCCTGTCCGTCCTTCTTGGGGTCGGATCGCCGCCGCCGCTGGCCAGGACGACGGTCCGCGGCCGCCCCGCCGCTTGCCTGGGCCCGGCCTGCAGGGAAGAACGGCATACCCCCCCAAAGGGGTACTTTAATAGTGAATTTAATCGGCTTTAGGGTTTTAACAAATGGTCGCAGCCACGCAGAGGGCGTGCGTAGCGACGCCCCAAATGCTCGGCCTCCAGTACTTCTACGTGGCGGCGCCCCCGCAGGCACGCAGAGGGCACGCGTGGCGACGATGGCGTCGCCACGCAGAGCTTCTAAAGACCAAACATTTTGAAAACCAATTGTTTCCACTACTAAAGTACGATCGAAGACGAAGAGGGCGGGTATCGAGGGTTTGGGAAACACGCGTTAACGGACACTCGAGCAGATAAGAGCGAACAGTCTTAAACTGATTGTTGCTGTTGTGGGGCCGCAGGTGGCTCTTGTTTGTATGGTTGGCGCCCCCGACACATGTTCCATATTCCCCCCCAGCGGGACGTGTTTTCAGATGTTTCCCCGCAGGGCGTATTCTTTGTATTCTATCCTCGCAGATGGCAGTGTCATGTATGTTGGCCTCGCAGATCGAATGTGTTTGGTATCATGGCCTCGCGGAGCCGCCCAGGCAACTATCGGAACAACCATCGGGACAACCATCGGGGCAGCCACCAGACGGCTATCGGACAACCATCGGGACAGCCATCGGCACAACCATCAGGACAACCATCGAGACAACCGTCGGGGAAACCATCGGGACACTCATCGGGACAACTGTCGGGAGAACCATCGGGACAACCATCGGGCCAGTTTTACTCAACAAGCGCTGCGCGGGGGTGTTCGACTCATTGTTGCCTGCCTTGGCCTTTCCTAGGACAGGAACTCGCGTAGCGTCGCCTCGCCTAGCCAGCGCGCTCGTCCCGCGCCACACGAGCCGAAACCGAATCGATTTCCCGCTTGGACGATTCCGCTTCACTTCGATATCGCCTCCCTGCCTCCGATTTGGAATTCGTGGGGGGCTAGCTAATTTCTTCGGGCTACCCGGAAGAACCTTGCACCTCCCCTATCCGTGCAGGGCCTCTTGACACAAAACTTAGCATTTGCGCAGCGGGATCTCAGGGTGCTCGAGGGCTCCTAGAGAGCAAATCCGCGTGCACAGTGAATCCACATGGTGCGACGTGTCATGGTTACTTTGTGTCGCGGCGTGGGTTGCTCCCATGGTCTCTAACGAAGCTCGTCCGGCCTGTTGGCCTGACGGTGTTTCTCTCCACTGCACTTGCTGGTCAGGCGTTTCTGTTTGCAGCCGCGCCCATCCTGGATTTCTCTGTGGGGGTGTAGGGGGGTGTAGGGGGGGGGGGGGGGGGCGAACAGCAACGT